TTGGTTCGTGCGCAGTTTTCTCAGTGAGTTATTTTTCTGTTCATTCTAATTGTTACATGACCAACCAACCACACAGATACACACAAACACAAGAATCCAGTCAAAAAATCAGCCATACGTCCATTTGAAGTCAGATTTATACTTTGATGGTAGTGTTTATAGCACCTTGTTAACATGTTACACAACTACGGGCTTTGATTACTTTCGGGGTCAAACCACGTAATTCTTTCGAATGTAGCCAGAATGACAACCCAACATCACATAATCAGCAATGGACGCCTACTAGTTCGGCTTAGCTTTGAATTTTGCTTTTAGTTGACTATCATCAACGTTAAAATAGCGCATCAAACTTCCTGATTGCTGCTGAGAAAAGTATAAAGTCACGAAAGACTAAATGGAAACTGGAATTCTGAGCCCTGGAACATGAAGCGAAGAATCAATCAAAGTAAGAACAGTGGTCTTACCATGCTCATTCACCTACTATCTGGTTTCTTAACCTCCGTTTATGAACTCTCAACCATTCAGAACCACCCTTCATCATCCACTTTACACCTACACACAGATATACACTCACAACCATCATTTATTACTAGTCCATCAACCCTTTTTGAACTCTGATTTTTTCACACATATATGTCTTCTCTCAGTACCTGTTTATTCTATTACACACTGTGCTGTGCCAGTTGATGTAACACCGAAAACGGGTTTGTCTGCCAATTTGTGTTCTCACAACTCGGTAAGTGGAGCCACCAGCTCATCCCAACCTGTCAGATTCACTGCCCCCGGAAATCTGCTCCATGCAAATTTCTTCTCCCCTTCAATTACTTTCCAACATCAATCTTTCACACCAACCAAAACTTGCCTGCACCGTACCTCTCATTTCAAAGGGTTTTCTTTCCTCAAAGAACACCTACTCACTTTTTTCGATTCCTTTCCCTCTTCATCTGAATAAAAGACAGTCAAAGTGATGCGAATCTAGTACATGTGCCCTCAGTTGTCGGCTTCCGAGCACAAGGATCACATCATACGTCATTAGAACGTGTTGACTCGCCCTGATCTGATAATCCTATTCAATTTCATACAAAAGGAAATCGAAAGTATGCATCTCGTCTATCATCGAGTGATATTAAATTATTAAATCCCCTTCTTAGTTCTTTATCCCGTTGTTTCTGATNTTCAACAGTACAGATCATCAATTATTTAACCATTTTTGAAAAGACGAGGATAGAGGTTCCTCGTTGGGATGAATCAGTTCAGTCCAACCTATTTTTCGGCATGATATTTCCGATTTACTTATGTCTGAATGCTGACTGATAGTAAAATATAGATTTTATTCACTGCAAGTGGTCTAGCAACTCAGAGTATTTTCTTTCACAAACAACTTGAGTGTTCTACCTTAGATTGAAGTGCTTCATTTCGAGAAGGAATTTCTGCCCCTGAGTAAACGCGATCTCTCAAGGATATCTTTCATACAAGTACGGCCTGCACCAGATGGCTGGACGAAAGCGAACAGGCCACTTTTACATGTATAGCCTACCAATTTTCCCCTTCTAACAAAATGTATGTCACAAGAAAACAAGAATAACCACTATTGCCCTGAACTAATAACTCATACAGTATATCAGAAATGGCAAGAGAATAAAGCACAACGTATTACACTCATAGAGATAAATACATGGCGAACATTCTCTCCGAACAGCCAATGGAAGACAGGAACGTCCGCTGTACAATAAAAAGCGACATAGAAACCATAGATTGTGTCATTTAGCGAAAGGTCTCAAGGGCTAAGTAGCTGATAGAAGAGTGATGATTCGAAAAGTGGACTGATAGTCAATGTCATCGATTCCCAGGAAGTTTGGAGAGCTAACAATTGTGTACAGAGTGATAAACACGTGTAAAGCTAAGGATCTGGTGTTCTACAACTTTTCATCCCAGGTTGGGTAAAGAATAATCTGTTTTTGCCTCGAAATAAAATAAACCGGCAGTACGTGACTTTCTGCACTGCTCAGTACCGGAATTGAAACGGAGCACGATGTACCTATTCCGGAAACCAATACCTGACACCATCTCCGCCTCCGCCGAGCACTACTAGTAACTTTGAAAATACAATCCTCTGCTGTTCAAATCTTGCAGTCGGTTTACACGGGAAAATGCTATTGTCTCAATATGCGGTCTATCTTTATTCAGAATTGTACACAACAGCTCAATCAATATCGTTTTGCCATAAATGAATCTTAAACGAATTCTCGCAGCTTGCGAGAATATCACACTCTAGGAGAGAAACCACACTTTACTTCCGTCGCGTATGTTCACAAAACTTTGAGATAGCGTTCAACTGGTTTAATTCATTCAAACGTGTTGTTTGGGGTAGTATCGTCAAGATTCCAACCCTGTCCCGCCAAACGAACTTTCGCTTTGAGCACTATCGTCAAATTCGGTGAAACATCCGATGTAGTTCGCTGCTCCAACCAACGCGGTTAGCCGGTTACCACAACGGGTCCTAGAGATTATCCTCGTACTCCATTGCGTGTAAGGGAAGATAATCCCATTGCGGTGACCTTTTCATTGTGCTTAGAGCCATATCTCAAACACGAGATATATCACTTTACAAAGCTAATACTTCTCAGTTACAGTTTCGATGACTCGTTGAACATGATCAATTATGTGTTTTGATCGATTGGTAATGTTCTGCTCATTTGAAACGATTTAGGGGATTTCGTTTGTTTATGAAAGTTTCAGTTTATACAACCAGCAGCGTTTCGTGGTGGGTCTGTTAGTCCATCTGGATGAGGGAAGAATTAGAATGTTGGAAGCGGCGAGAATTCAGATGGATTAGGGTTGCAAATAAATTGGATAGATGCGCGAGTGTTACTGTTTATGACACGCCGTGTATGGGACCATCGATCACACTGATTCTCGACAGGAGGACAAACGCACCCCTGCCTTTTAGTNAACCTTTTTCTGCCTAATACCTGCCCCAGGCAACATCGTATATCCAGGGAGCCTTTCTTGTAGCATGATTAACCCATGCCCCAACCAACGTAATCTACCGCGATCTTCCAAAATTCCAAGTCTAATGACAAAGTACTAAAAATCGGTTCTCGTAGCTCGGGTGAATTGAATTCTATTTTGCCTGTTCGCCGAGCTTGGCAAGTTGTTTGCAAACGTTTCATCACCAGCCGAGGTGACATCATGTG